AGGGACTTCCCTTAATATCTCCTCTATAAGAATAATGTTAGTTACAGGGTTTTAAATTTTTTTTTTCCTTTTGAATACCCAAGATTGAATTCAGAGGCATTCAACCACTGAGCCACATCCCCATCCCTATTTTGTATTTTATTTAGAGACAGGGTCTCACTGCATTGCTTCACCTTGCTTTTGCTGAGTCTGGCTTTGAACTTGAGATTCTCCTGTCTCAGCCACTGGGATTACAGGTGTGCTCCACTGAGCCTGGCTTAGTTACAGGTTTGAGTAGTTATCCTTTAGTAAGTTAAAGAAGTCCCCTTTAATTTTCTAAGATTTTTTTTCCATAAATGAGAGTTAAAATTTTATCAAATATTTTTCCTGGATAGATTGAAGTGATGATATGATTTTTTTTACTTGAAGAATACCATGTATAGATTATATGATGCTAAGTGGCTCTTGCCTTCTGAGGGTCATCCAGTTTAGGCATGATTGCTATCTTTTTATGTACTTCCATATTAAATTACCTAATAATTCATTTGGAATTTTAATAAAATCCCTGTTTTAAAAATTTATTTATTGGGCTGGGATTGTGGCTCAGCGGTAGAGTGCTCACCTAGCATCGGCGAGACCCGGGTTCCATCCTCAGCACCACATAAAAATAAAGGCATTGTGTTGTGTCCAAATACACCTAAAAAAAAAAAAAGAAAGAAAAAGATTTGTTAAAAAAATAGAATTATTTATTTTAATTAGGTATATATGACAGCAGAATGCCTTTTGATTCATTGTAAAACAACTGCAGCACAATTTTACATTTCTTGGTTATACACAATGCAATGTCGCACCATATGTGTAGTCATACATGTACCTAGGGTAATGATGTCCATCTCATTCCACCATCTTTCCTACCCCCATTTCCCCTCCCCACTCCACCCTTCCCTTTGCCCCATCAAAGTTCCTCCATTTTCCCAATGTTCACCCGCATTATGGGTCAGCATCTACTTATAAGAGAGAACATTCGGCCTTTGGTTTGGGGGGATTGGCTTACTTTACTTAGAATGATATTCTCCAACTCCCTCCATTTACCTGCAAATGACATAATGGAACCACCATTTGACCCAGCTATCCCACTCCTCTGTCTATACCCAAAGGACTTAAAATCAGCATACTATAGTAATGCAGCCACATCAATGTTTATAGCAGCTCAACTCACAATTCATAAGCTATGAAAGCAACCTAGACGCCCTTCAATAGATGAATGGATAAAGAAACTGTGGTTTATAAACACAATGGAATATTACTCAACATTAAAAAGGAATTAAAAAACCCTTTTTAAGAATGAGACTGCCACTCATTTTCCTTTTGGTCCTGTCCTTATCTGAATTCAATGTCAAGATGATAATGGCTTCATGGAATGAACTGGAGAGTATTCTCTCTCTTTCTGTTCTCTGAAGGATTTGACCTAAACTCGAAATGATCTCTATGTTGAAACTCTGATAGATTTATTTGTAAAATTATTTGGGTTACTTGTTTTCTTTGTGGGAATCATTTAATATTTATTCAGTAATTTTAATTTTAGGACTCAATGCATTCTATTCTTTCAATCAGTTTTGGTAAGTTATATTTTCAAGAAACTTCTGCCTCTATCTCAGTTTTTAAATTTATTGACCCAAAAGTTAGTCTTTGCTCTAGCTGTATTTCTGTCCCTCTTTTCCTAATATTAGGTATTTGCACCTTCTTTCCTTTTTCCCCTTAATTACTTTTGCCAGAAGCATTTTTTTTTCCATTCGACTTTTCAATGAAAACTTTTGTCACTTTAAATTCTAACTTTGGTTTCTATTTCACTGATTTTCCCTCTTTCCTATATTATATTTGTTTCTTCTATGCTGTTTGGGTTTGATCTTTCCTATATTATATTTTTTTATTCTATGCTCTTTGGGTTTATTTTATTCTTTTTCTAACGTGTATCTTAGGCTTATAAATTTCAACCTTCAATTCATATATGTATGTGTGTGTGTGTGTGTGTGTATATATATATATATATATATATATATATATATATATATATATGAGAGAGAGAGAGAGAGAGAGAGAGAGTTTTTTTGTTTGTTTTTTTCTGCGTGTGTGTGTGTGTGTTACCAGGGATTGAACCCAGGGGCACTCATCACTGAGCTACATCTCAGCCCTTTTTATATTTTATTTTATTTTTATAAGAACATGAACTTTTAAAATTTTGTTCTAATTAGTTATGAATAATAGTGGAATATATTTTGATATATTCTACATATATGGAGTATAACTTCTCATTTTTTTGATTATACATAATATAGGATTACATTGGTTGTGTAATCATATACGCACATAGAATAGTAATGTCTGATTCTTTCTATTATCTTTACTATTTCCATTCCCCCTCCCCTCCCTTCATTCCCCTTGGTCTAATCCAAAGTACTTCTATTCTTCTCTAAACCTGCTCCCATTGTGAATTAGCATCTATATATCAAAGAAAATATTTGGCCTTTGATTTGATTGGTTTATTTCACTTAACATAATATCCTCCAGCTCCATCCCTTTACAGGCAAATGCCATCATTTTATTCTTCTTTATGGCTGAGTAATATTCTATTGTGTATATGAACCACATTTTCTTTATCCATTCATTTGTTGAAGGGCATCTAGGTTGGTTCCATAGTTTAGCTATTGTAAATTGAGCTGCTGTAAACACTGTTGTGGCTATGTCACTGTAGTATATTGATTTTAAGTCCTTTGGGTATAAACTGAGGAGTAGGATAGCTGGGTCAAATGGTGGTTCCATTCCAAGTTTTCTGAGGTATCTCCATACTGCTTTCTTTTTTTCCTTTAGACTACCAATTTGTAGTGCCACCAGCAATGTGTGAGTGTGCCTTTTCCTCCATGTCCTCGCCAACATTTATTGTTACTTGTATTCTTGATAATTGCCATCTGTCTGGAGTGAGATGAAATCTCAGTGTGGTTTTAATTAGCATTTTTCTAGTTGCTAGAGATGTTGAACATTTTTTTCATATATTTGCTGATCAATAGTATTTCTTCTTCTGTAAAGTGTCTGTTCAGTTTCTTAGCCCATGTATTGATTGGGTTATTTGTTTTTTAGGGGGGGTGTTAACTTTTTTGAGTTCTTATATTTTATTTTGAGAGGGTGTCTCACTAAGTTGCTGAGACTTTGGTGAAATTGCCAAGGCTGGCCAGGAATTTGCAATCCTCCTTCCTCAGCCTCCAGAGTTGCTGGGATTACAGGTGTGTCCCATCCCACCCAACCCTGATTGTATTCTTAAGGTTTATCTCTCTCTCACTCTCAGCTTCCCATTTGTTTGTTTGAAGCAAAACAAACAAACAATAACAATTGCATTGGAGAACTGAAAATCTCTTTTTACACTTGAAACTATTCAAGGTGAAGTTACATAATGGTATTTTAAAGAAACATGGCACATCGATAATCCCAGTGACTCAGGAGGCTCAAGCAGGAGAATTACAATAGAGACCCTAAGCAACTCAGCAAGACCCTGTCTCAAAAATAAAGCTGGGCACAGTGGTGCATGCCTGTACTCTTATTAATTGGGAGGCTGAGTCAGGTTCTCAAATAAAAGATAAAAGAGACTGGGACTATAATTCAGTAATGAAGTGCCCCTATGTTCAATCTTGATACAAAAGAAAAGAAGTGGAAAGAAAGAAGAAAAAGTAAATAAAAAGTAAAAAGGGTTGGGGATGTAGCTTTGTGATAAAGTGCCTCTGGGTTTAATTCCCAGTACCTAAATGAATATGGGTCAGTATATTATTTTCAAAGACCAATCTGTTTCTCAATAGAAGTATTTCTACATATTTACGTATTTAAGGCAATATATAGTGACTACGTGGGAACTTTGAGTTTAATGGCTCTGTGATGAAACCCTGCTGATGGAGTCCCTAGTTATGTGCCCTTGGACAAGTTGGGTAGCCTCCCTAAATCACTTCTTAAAGATCTGGAATCTGGGATAATACTACTTACTACTACTTTATTGTGTTGTTGTATTGATAAAATAGTTGTAAACTTGACATAGATAATTCAATAAGTGCCATTATTATTACTACTACTCCATAATAGATGCTTGATTAGTATTTTTTTCACCTACATGAATGATTTATTTAACTATATAACTTTGCTATATTACTTTATTTAGCATTTATGAGAAACTATTTTATTTGGAGAAAATAACTTGATGAATGTGTAAGATATGAAACAGGTATTTCTTTATAGAGATTGTGCTTTTACTTTGGAATAAATTCCACAGCCATCCTGTGTTTTAAGAAGCATGATACAATCCAGGCTTGGGAGTGCACACCTGTAATCCCAGCAGCTTGTGAGGTTGAGGCAGGAGGATCACAAGTTCAAAGCCAACCTCAGTAAAAGCAAGGCGCTAAGCTACTCAGTGAGACCCTGTCACTAAATAAAATACAAAATAGAGCTGGAATATGGTTCAGTGGTCGAGTGCTCCTGAGTTCAAGCCCTGGTAACTGCGCCCTCCCAAAAGAAGCAGACTTAGAAATAGTTTTAGATAATTAAATAGAAATATATATAATATTATTATTATTTTGCAAAAATATAGGGATTGAACCCAGAGGCATGCTACTGCTGAGCTGCATCCCAAGCCCCTTTTATTTTTTTCTTTTGAGACAAGGTCTTCAATAAGTTGCTGAAGCTGGCCTCAAATTTGCAACCCTCCTTCCTTAGCCTCCCAAGTCTCTGGGATTACAGGCATGTGCCACCATGCCCAGGCAAAAGCATTATTTTTTAATTAAATATTTTTTTATGTGACTTACCATCATAGTCACAGATATTGTGGGAAGTAAGGCATTGGCATTTCTAACTCAAAGTATATATTATATGAAGATCTAATAGTGTTTTATGGTCACTGTGAAATCACTATTTACTCGCAATTTTTTGTAAACTGATTATGCGTGCAAACTTAATTTAACTTGAAAAGCTGATTTTCTCCCCCACAGATTCTAATTTCAGTGACCCCGTTACTGGAGCACCAGTTCAGTACTTACAAAGACTTTCCAAAATGGCTCTTTTGGAGTTTAATACCATTCGTCAGGAAACAAGTAAAAAATCAAAAAAAGCCAAGAAGCGAGAGTTACGAGACTACTGATAAATACCATACGGTGTGATGCTTTCTTCACTGCTTTTTAAGGTTTATAGTTGCTTTTTTTTTGTGATATGTGATATGATGTGCAATGATTTACATAAAAATGGAAATGTAAATATGAAATAAATATTTTATGTTATACGTGGAATGGTTTGTATTTTGTTAACATCACAAAGAGTCATTTAAATTAAGGGAATATAAGCATTAGAGAAATTATATTCCCTGAATTTTATGCACATTGATTTTTTTCCTTTAGACTTAATTGACTCAACATTATTTGAGTACCTGTCTGTGCAATGAACTTTGCTGCAGAAAGTCTTCCTGGAAGACAAAAGAAGACGGAAAGAGGAGGAGAGTCGGTGTCCTTGCATGTTTTATATTAATTTACACAAATACACTATTAATATGTATGTGTTTGTCTGCATTATTACAATGGATTAGTTCCTAGGAGGATAACTAATTTAAATGGTTTTGTTTATATTTTGATTGGGATCATATGAATTTTGATCATATGAGAACATGTGAATTTTCAAAATCACATAAATTTTGATGGAGAATGATTCAAATACTACCTGTATTAAAAGGTATTCTCAATAAAAATTTGGTGACCTTTCTTGAATGAGCACTTCTTTGACTGTCAGGTGGATTTCATTTATTGAACTACCATGTCCTCTTAACATTTAGTATTATTTATTAACCTTACAAAGACCTTAAAAAATAAGATGATATTATTCCTGTTTTATAAATGGAATAAATTGAGTGTCTTTGTTTAAACTATGTCTCTAGCTAGAAAGTGGAAGAACTAAGATTCTAACCTACTAGGATTCAAAACTCCTATACAAAATTTCATGGCATAATAATTTTTAAAACCTTAAGTTCAGTTGATAAAGTCATGGTTTAATCCTTAAAATTTAGGGCAAGGTAACACTTCCACAGGCAAAAATATTTCTTAATATTGAGTTGAGTTTGCAAGTTCTGACATTGACACATCTTGGAGCATTTATACTGGTAAGTGGAGACCAGGATTATGTACATGGATAACCGTGTCTCCCTCACCCCTCCATCTGCGCCATGAAAGAGTTCACTCAAGTCAGTTCAAGAAAGGAGTAGAATGTTTATGGAATGTTTATTTCTTTTTAATAAATGAAATGTGCTGACAATAGTTAATCACCTTTTCAGGCTTGGGATCAAATAACTTATGTTTTTCATTAAATATCACCCCCAAGTAAGATTAACCTAAGATTTAGAGATAAGGATGAGAGGTAAACTTTTGACATTGCAACCACCATGCATATTACATTTATGTTTGGGATTGAAGACAATCTTGCCAGAAATAAGCCTTTTGCATTTGGGATCTGGAAAACCCCTCCAGTGTAAGCAATATCAATCATAACCACGGAGAACTGTACCTTCCGATAAATATTTAGGATGGGAAGATGGAGTCTTGATTTTTAAACTGAGAAAATGCTTCTTTATTAAGAATAATTACTTCAGTGAAGGACAAATTCTGTCAATGAAGTTCCAATGAAATTTCCTAAGACTCATTTTCTTTTCTCTAATTCTCTGCTCACCAGGCAGCCTTCTTATATATAATTTAGATTCCCAAATGAATATATCCGATTAAAAAGCAATGCCTTGGGCTGGGGCTGGGGCTCAGTGGTAAAGCGCTTGCTTTGCATGTGTGAGGCACCGGGTTCCATCCTTAGCACCACATAAAGGTAAATAAAGATACTGTGTGTTCATCTACAACTAAATAAATATTTTTAAAAAAAGCAATGCCGTCTCTGGATGATATGGCTTAGATCTGGGAATGTGTGTGCTATTTTGGTTTTTGGAGACAAGACTTTTCTATGTTGCCAAGGCTGACCTGGAACTTCCGAATCTCCTGCCTCAGGCTCCTAAATAGCTGGGGTTGCAGATGTGAGACACAACACGCAGCACGCATGCGTTAAATAATGCACCTCTATACCCCTATTCTAATTTTTTTTTTTTTTGGTGCTAACCCTAATCCTAACCCAGGGATACTCTACCACTGAGCTATATCTCCAATCTTCATATTTTTTTTTTTTAAATTTTGAGATAGGGTCTTAATAAATTGCCCAGGCTAGCCTCAAACTTGCAATCCTCTTGCCTCAGCCTCTGGAGTAGCTGGGATTACAGGAATGTACTACCATGTCCAACTCTCTTCTGGTTCTTGAAACTGAATTGGAATATAGTTCACTGTTGATTGCATATGGTTCACTATGGTTGATCTGGATCAAAATTTCCTGGAACGCAGTGTATTCAAGGTAGCAAATTTGCTGAGTGTGGTGGCACACACCTGTAATCCCAGGGACTCGGGAGGCAAGGCAGGAAGGATTGCGAGTTCAAAGCCAGCCTCAGCAAAGGCGAGGAGGCACTAAGCAAGACACTGTTTCTAAATAAAATACAAAGTAGTGCTGGGGATGTGACTCAATGGTTGAGTGCCCTTGAGTTCAATCCCTGGTACCCCTCAAAACCCAAAACAACAACAACAATATGGTACCAGATTCAATTCTTTCTGCATTGGGGGAAAAATTTTTTTCATTATTTCTTCAAAAACTTAACTCTTTCTGTGCTATAGTTTTGAGTTTTCTATTTCAGAAACACAAAATATCTTTATTTGGGATCATCTTCATCTGTTATAAGAATCTGCAGGATTGAAGGATCAGAATTTGTGAATATTTTCTATTTTCTCTCTGATTGCTTTAATCTGTGGAATTTTTTTACTCTCCTAGGTGCATTCACCATTGATTATTTTAGTGTTTCTTCTAGGTCAATTTAGTCTCTAACTATACCTCTTTTCTTCCTTGCTGTTTCTAATTTATTAATTCTGCAATGATACTATTTATGTCTCTAGTTTTGTTTTCTTAGGTCTATAATCACTCATTATCTAATTCTCTGTGCAGGAATTAGCAGACCCCACTCCCTTCTTTTTTTTTAAGGCTAAGTAGTAAATATTTTAAGCTTGGCAGGCCATACAGTATCTATTGCAACTACTTAACTCTAACATCGTATCATGAAATAGTTATAGACAATCTGTAAATTAATGAAAATGACTATGTTCCAAGAAAATTTCATTCTCAGTAACAGTACTATGTTTAGCAATAATGCTTTTAAAGTAAGTTACAATGTTCCTCTTAGTTCTCCTTAAGGCCGTCTGTGAATTCACTGTCTCTGAGGTTCCTTAACAAGTTTTCCTGGGAGTGGGTGCCTCTTTGGAGGCATCTTGATCATTACCAGGTTGATTTAATAATAAATGCCTATTAGTATAGGGCATTGTGCTAATAAATGCTTTTTATCTACAATCCTATGGCAACTTCCAAAGAACCCAATTTTAAAATCTTTAGGTATCTCATTCTCACTCCATTCCCCTAAGAAATATTATACACCTTCTCTTTTCTCTTTAAATTTCCAAGACCTTTCCCACCTTCTCATTGAATTAATGACCCTTCTTAATGCAATTGAGAAAAAAAAAGGAGCAATTAGAAATAACTTCATTCACTCCAAACCCTGATCTACAAACCCACCTGCTCCTGTACTCATCCACATCCTCTCTCTGAGAACCCCTAGAGGGAGTCCCAAGAGCCCCTTCACTTGCACAGCAGGTAAGTCCCTATCTCCTCTCACGAGGGCAATTGCATCCCTGAATCATTACAATGTCTCCTCTTAACTTCTTCATTTCCACACTGTAAAAACTTGCTACAGAATCTCCAGTCCTAACTGAAGACATACCTCCTGTGATCTGCTACTCCATTTGTTTGCCTTTATAGCCAAGCTCCTTTGAAGTGTGGTCTGTACACCATCTGTACTTCCTCCACCCTGCTTTTCGTTCTTGAACTTGCTCCAATTAGGCTGTCGGCAACACTACTTTTAGGTTTAAATATGAGGTGTCCCCCCCAAAACTCATGAGTGAGACAATTACAACTGTTCCAAGGAGGAAACGAAACGATTAGAATATGAGAGTTGTAGCCTAATCAGTGGATTAATCCACTGATACAGATTAACTGGGTGGTAAGTGTAGGCAGGTAGGGTGTAGCTGGAGGAAGCAGGTCACTGGGGGTGTGCCTTTGGGGTTCATATTTTATCCCTGGTGAGTGAAGCTCTCTCTCTGTTTCCTGGCTGCTTCCCTCTGCCCTCAGAGAAGGGCATGATCCTGGGCAAGGTGCCCTTTTGCCATGAGGTTCTGCCCTGCCAGGGTCCAGAGCTATGGAGGTGGCTGACTGTAGACTGGATCTCTGAAACTGTGAGCCCAAATAAACTTTTTCTCCTCTAAATTGTCCTTGTCAGGTATTTTGGTCACAGAGACACAAAAGCCAACTAAAACAACTAACCACTCACTAAAACAGCTCTTGTCTGATGACCTAGCATATCACAAGCCAATAGAAATTCTTCTTTTATTTGACATATCAAGTGGCATTAGACATAGTCAATCTCTCCCTCCTACTTGAAGAGCCTTCCAGGACATAATTTTCTTTCCGTTTTCTTCCTACCTTTCTGGTCACTTCTTTTCAATCTCTTTTTTTTTCAAAGTCAATAGCTAGTAAAGTGGCATATTTGAGATTCAAGCCACTCAAAGGCAAAAATTTCTCCACCTTCCTCCTTCAGAGGCCCCCTCCCCTCTGATTCCTCCTGCTCCTCCTCCTTCTTGTTCATACTAGGGATTGAACACAGGATGCTTTACCACTGAATGACATTCCTAATCCTTTTTATTTTGAGACAGGGTCTTGCTAAGTTGTGGATGCAGACCTCAAACTTGGAATTCTCCTGCCTCAGCCTCCCAAGTCACTGAGATTATAGACATGTGCCACTGCACCTGGTACATTTATTAATTTCTATATCCTGAGTAGTTATCACTGTGTCCAGCACAGAATATGAACTGAGAAGTATTTTTATTATTTTGCAAGAAAGAATATCAGAGACAGAGTTGGTGATAAGACAGTTCAGACCAGAGACACTGGATTCTCTGGGCAGTATGAAGGAGATAAGACCAACTAGTGGAATTTCTGAGGAGTGGGGGAACAGGGAGCAGACCCAAATAGATGAAATGGCCAACTTTGGTTAGCACCTGATAGAAGAAGGAAATCGAATTTTGTCAGGAAGGCACTATCTTCAAAAAATAGCAGTGTGTATTTGACAGAAACCCACTGTGTAAGGACAAATCCCCTGAGAACCAAATTGGAGACAAGCATGCAGGCAGTTCATTGGGAGTGCTGCCAATAATTCCCTGAAGAGGCAGAGGCAGAATCATGGGCAAAGGACTTGAGCAGCTATGCGTCTCTGCAGAGCCTCTACCACCTCATCTGTGGAACTGAAAATCCCTTCAGGATTGTCTCTCCTACAGCAAGGAGGTTTTGCCTTTATTTTACCTATTTCACCTCTGAATCTCTCGAAGATATATCATTGGATCATGGGATGTGAACTGCCCTCAGAGAAGGGCATGACCCCGGGCAAGGTGCTCCCTTTTGTTGAGAGAAATTCCTGAGAAGGGGACTTCACTGCGAGTGCTATGAGCAACCAGTGAACAAGGACCCCAGCCATAAAGAGGAGATCTGGGTCACAAACCACAGC